GGCTTGATGGACATAATCATCGGTAAAGAATAGCTTTAAGCCGAATCTGCGATCTATAACTTTCAAAATCCAAAAAGAAATGGCATTATGAAAAAATCGCCGAAAAATAACGAAAATGTCGTACGAAAATTAATCCGCCCAAATCGGTACATAACGGGCTTAAGCATCGGTGGAGAATAGGATCAATAGACTTTATCATTAGTGGAGAATAGCCTCGGGTCAAATTCATGTTCTCTAGCCTGCAAAATCGGAAGAAAATGGCATTTCAGAAAAATCACCTGAAATCGGTGATGGTGCCCTTTTGGAATCTGCCAAAAATGGCCCGAAAGAAATCCGCCCAAATTGGGGCTTGATGTACTTAATCATTGGTGAAGAATAGCCGCAAGCTGAATGCATGATTTGTAGCCTTCAAAATTTAAGAAAAATGGCCTTTTGAAAAAAATCGGCCAAAAAATTACAAAAATACCACACTAAAATTTATCCGCACAAATTGGTGTTTAGCGGGCTTAAGCATCGGTGGAGCATAGGATCAATAGACTTCATCATCTGTGGAGAATAGACTTGGGCCGAATTCGTGATCTCTAGCCTTCAAAATTGGAAGAAAATGACACTTCCGAAAAATCACCCGAAATCTGTGATGTTACCCCTTTGGAATCTGCCAAAAATGGCCCGGAAGAAATCCGCCCAAATCGGGGCTAGAGGGACTTAATCATCGGTGAAGAATAGGTGCAGGACAAATCCGTGATCTGTAGCCTTCAAACTTTAAGAAAAATGGCCTTTTGAAAAATATCACCCAAAAAATTACAAAAATGCCACACTAAAATTAATCCGAACCAATCGGTGCCTAACGGGCTTAAGCATCGGTGGAGAATAGACTTGGGCCGAATTAGTGATATCTAGCCTTCAAAATGGGAAGAAAATGACACTTCGGAAAAATCACCCGAAATCTGTGATGATACCTCTTTGGAATCTGCCAAAAATGGACTCGGAAGAAATCCGCCCAAATCGGGGCTTGATGGACTTACTCATATGTGAAGAATAGCCTCAGGCCGAATCCATGATCTATAGCCTCCAAAATCTAAGGAAAATGGCCTTTTGAAAAAAATCGCCAAAAAATTACGAAACTGTCATACGAAAATTAATCCTCCCAAATCGGTGTCTAACGAGCTTAAGCATCAGTGGAGAATAGGATCAATAGACTTCATCATCGGTGGAGAATAGCCTCAAGTTGAATTCGTGATCTCTAGCCTTCAAAACCTGAAGAAAATAGCATTTCGGAAAAATCACCTGAAATCTGTGATGGTACCCCTTTGGAATCTGCCAAAAATGGACCCAGAAGAAATTCGACTAAATCGGGGCTTGATGGACTTAACCATCGGTGAATATTAGCCTCAAGCTGAATTTGTGATCTGTAGGCTTCAAAATCCAAAGAAAATGGCCTTTTGAAAAAAACCAAATAATTGCGAAAATGCCATACGAAAATTAAACAACCCAAATCAGTGCCAAACGTGCTTAAGCATCGGTGGAGAATAGGATCAATAGACTTCATCATCGGTGGAGAATATCCTCGGGCCGAATTTATGATCTCTAGCCTTCAAAATCGGAAGAAAATGGCATTTCGGAAAATCACACGTAATCTGTGATGATACCCCTTTGGAATCTGCTAAAAATGGACCCGGAAGAAATCCGCCCAAATCGGGGCTTGATCGACTTAATCATTGGTGAAGAATAGCCTTAGGCCAAATCCGTGATCTGTAGCCTTCAAAATACAAAGAAAATGGCATTCTCAAAAACATTGCCAAAAAAATTACGAAAATGCCATACGAATATAAATCCGCCCAAATTAGTGCGTAATGTGCTTAACCATCGGAGGAAAATAGAATCAATATACTTCATCATCGGTGGAGAATAGTCTCTGGGGTAATTCGTGAGCTCTAGCCTTCAAAATGGGAAGAAAATGTCATTTCGGAAAAATCACCTGAAATCTGTGATGGTACCCCATTTGGAATCTGCGAAAAATGGACCCGAAAAAAATCTGCCTAAATCGGGGCTTGATGGACTTAATCATTGGTGAATAATAGCCTCAGGCTGAATCCGTGATTTGTAGCCTTCAAAATCCAAGGAAAACGACTTTTTGAAAAAAACCAACCCAAAAAATTACGAAACTGCTATACGAAAATTAAACCGCCCAAATCGGTGCCTAACGGGCTTAAGCATTGGTGGAGAATAGGATCAATAGACTTCATCATTGGTGGAGAATAGCTTCGGGTCGAATTCGTGACCTCTAGCCTTCAAAATCTGAAGAAAATGACATTTTGGAAAAATCACCCGAAATTTGTTATGGTGCCCCTTTGAAATCTGCCAAAAATAGACCCTGAAGAAATCCACCAAAATCGGGTCTTGATGGACTTAATCATCGGTGAAGAATAGTTTTAGGCTGAATCCGTGCTCTCTAGCCTTCAAATCTAAGGAAAACGACCTTTTGAAAGAAAAAAAAAACGACCACGAAATTACGAAAATGTCATACGAAAATTAATCCGCCCAAATCGGTGCATAACGGGCTTAAGCATCGGTGGAGAATAATATCAATAGACTTCATCATCGGTGGAGAATAGCCTATGGTCGAATTCGTGATCTCTAGCCTTCAAAATGGGAAGGAAATGGCATTTCGGTAAAATCACCCGAAATCTGTGATGGTACCTCTTTGGAATCTGCCAAAAATGGACTCGGAAGAAATCCGCCCAAATCAGGGCTTGATGGACTTAATCATCGGTGAAGAATAGCCTCAGGCCGAATCCGTGATATGTAGCCTTCAAATTCTAAGGAAAATGGCCATTTGAAAAAAAATCGCCCAAAAAATTACGAAAATGCCATACGAAAATTAATCCGCCCAAATCGGTCCCTAACGAGCTTAATCATCTGTGGAGAATAGAATCAACAGACTTCATCATCGGTGAAGAATAGCCTCGGGCTGAATTCGTGATCTCTCGCCTTCAAAATCAGAAGAAAATGACATTTCGGAAAAATCACCCGAAATTTGTGATGGTACCCCTTTGGAATCTGCCAAAAATGGACTCGGAAGAAATCCACCCAAATCGGGGATTGATGGAATTAATTATCGGTGAAGAATAGCCTCTGGCCAAATTCGTGATTTGTAGCCTTCAAAATCCAAGGAAAATGGCATTTTCAAAAAAATCGCTCAAAAAATTACAAAAATGTCATATGAATACAAATCCGCCCAAATCGGTGCGTAACAGGCTTAAAGCATCGGTGGAGAATAGGATCAATAGACTTCATCATCGGTGGAGAATATTCTTGGGCCAAATTCGTGATCTCAAGTCTACAAAATTAGTAGAAAATGACATTTCGTAAAAATCACCCGAAATCTGTGATGGTACCCCTTTGGAAACTGCCAAAAATGGACCCAGAAGAAATCCTTCCAAATCGGGGCTTGATGGACTTAATCATCGGTTAAGAATAGCCTCAGGCCGAATCCGTGATCTGTAGCCTTCAAAATCCAAAGAAAATGGCCTTTTGAAAAAAAATCGCCCAAAAAATTACGAAAAATGTCATACGAAAATTAATCCGCCCAAATCGGTGTCTAGCTGGCTTAAGCATCGGTGGGGAATAGGATCAATAGACTTCATCATCGATGAAGAATAGCCTCGGGCCGAATTCATGATCTCTATCCTTCATAATCGGAAGAAAATGACATTTCGGAAAAATCACTTGAAATCTGTGATGGTACCCTTCTAGAATCTGCCAAAATGCCTTAAGAAAATTAACCCGCCCAATTTGGGGGTAAAATTTTCCAAAACCCACCAAACTATTCGAATTTGGGTCAGGGTACCACCAAACTTTGAAATTTGAATAGAGGCTCGAATACCTTTTAAGTCTATGAACAATGCCTCTGTCTACTGTCTAGTTTTCCTTCCAGGTTAGTCAGCTTTTAATTACCTTTTAGTACATAGAACTTTGAATATCACCCAAAACATTAATAATTCAATAAATATCATATCAAAATTAGTCATCCACTTTATAGGCACAAAATTAATATAATCACTATTTAAAATATTTCAATAAAACTAGAAAAAGTTGGAAAAATAATAAATGAATATCAAGAAAATATAATAAATATACTAGAAGACAATAATAATAGAATATCAATGTAATGAAAAAAATCAATATTTTACGTAGCAGTTTGTAAAGAATAACTATCACTTTGTAACATTTACGTAATGAATGTGTATTTTACGTAACAGTTTTAAAATATCATTACAGAAGTTTTATGTAATGAAAATTAACAATATATTACATAAAGTATTAAATACTAAAGTCTTAGTAACAATTATATAAAATCAACACTAAAACCATTAAAGATAAAAATGAATAAACAAATAAAGAAAAAAAATGCAAAGGTTAAAATCAAAGCAGGTAACCAAATAATACCCCCAAACATGGTGGAGGAATCGGAGAAGGCGGATTTGGCTCTTCACTTCTCTGCTAATCTGTTTACGTCGGAGGCGAGTGAAGAGGGAGTTTAGGAAAGGGTTAATGCCCTCCCAATTGAGCAACGGGTTACGTCGGAGATGAACAACACCCTGATAGCTGAGCTGACACCGATGGAGATAATATCTACGGTCTTTGCTATGGATTCGACTCAATTTCCGGGGACGGATGGGTTCACAGGAATGTTCTTTAAAATATCTAAAAACGACTCATGATTAGGGATAGAAATCCAGCCCGAAACCATGAGTCGTTTTTAGATATTTTAGAATTGTAACCATCTAAATCCACATCCAACTATAGGCTTCATTTCAAAAAATTGAAACCCACGTCCACCCATAAAACTATATATTCTCGAATATTATGAGCGGGTCGGTTTGGTTTGGATTGAACAGGTAGGTTGGTTTTGTTGACCCCCAGTACTTGGAAAATGAAAGAGCGGGCCGGACAAATATGGATGGGCTTAGCGGTCGTGGAGGAGGGCTGGGTCTATTCTGAGGCGCAGTCGAGAAGGAGTCCATCATTTCCCCTGCTTAGGCGTCGTTTCGTTATAGCTCGGCGGATCTATCTTTTCTCTTCCACCCCTGGAGGCATCGAAGCAGACAGGAGAGCAGGGCAGTGTTGAGTTGAGTTGAGGTCGTCTCGTCGGAGGGTGAAGAAATGGCGTCCGGTTGGGGGATCACAGGGAACAAAGGCAGATGCTACGATTTCTGGATCGACTTTAGCGAGTGCATGTCTCGTTGCAGAGAGCCCAAGGACTGCACTTTCCTACGCGAGGACTACATGGAGTGCCTCCACCATTCCAAAGAGGTTGGTTTTCCTTTTACCCTAATTCCTTTCCCTCAATCCTTTCACTTCCTCTCCTCTACCCCTTGCCGTAGATTTGATTGTTCTGCGCGACCTGATTTGCCCGCCATGGCGCGGTCTGTGTGGGAACAGAAAGCCTCTTCCTTTGGCTATTTGTGCGACTTTGATTTACTGCCTTCAGAAATTTTAGATTGCTGATGATGTCCTTGGAATCACGAAGGACCGCCCTAGATTCTATCAACCCGATTCAAGCCTTCATCTGTTGGCTCCTGCCCATCTCTTTCTGATTTTCGTGTTTTTGGGGCCTTCCTTATGTGGGGTTGTTGTATATTGTGGATGTGGGCGTCTGAGTGGGATCCCGATAGCAAGTCCTAATAACCTTCTGAAATATCCTTATTTCGTTTGACGACATTGTTTACACTCTCTTGATGAACCGGACTGTGCTGCTAAACTATGTGGATGTCCAATGATGCTGCTTGGGGTAGTCTGTCAACTGGTTTCGTCTAATGAGCTCCATTAATTTCTTAACATTCTTTTCTGATATGATCCTATTCTGAAGCTAATTTTCTATTTCTCCATTTATGATTAGTATTCACAAAGGAAGTCCTTTTATCAGTTTGTTTTTTCACGTGATAATTGTGCCTGGCAGCGGTGTTTCTCTTTGGCTGATTTGGGTGTTTATAAAATTGTTTAGCATGGGCGTGATCTCGGGGTTGTTTCCCTTACTTTACTGCTACGTGGACACATTCCATTTTATGTCCATACCCGCTCACCTTCCATACCCCTTTGATTTTGGTTCTGGTTTACAATGGCTTTCATGCATCAGTCATGAAGGTTGGAGTAAGTGAATGCTACACGCCTACACTCTTAGGAAGGGAACTGCAAGGTGCTTGGTTCCTTTTTTCTCATAAGAAGGATCTAATTTGTTATTTGGTTTCATATATGTGTTTGTTTGATCATATATCATCTGCATATACTACATGAAGAAGGATATAATTGGTTGTCTCTTTCTAGTAATAGTGTCGCATGCATATGCTACATGAGGTTAAATGACAGGAAGTATATGGATAATTAGTCCAAAAATGGAAGAAATGAGCTTTGGCCTTTGATGTGCTTTCATGTTCCATCCCTTAAATGCATGCTTCATGCTGCCCCTTGCCTAGTCTCAAAGGCTCACTGGCTCCAAACCGAATTTGTATACCTTACTTCTTCCACTAACTTTGCATTCAACTACAGTATCATCACCACCTCCCTGTAATCTTCTTTGTTTAAGGGTGTAAGCTTTGCTGTTGTCTCTCCACTAGGACACCCAACTATCTATGTGCGATGTTGTAACATTTCACGCAGCAATATGTTCCGTGAAGCTGTGGATGACTGAGTAATTAATGAAGTTAAAAACCCCTGGCAATTAAAGCAAGTTACTAGGCCATACATTGTTGTCTTGTTCTGTTGATCACAAATTCACAATATAGAGCTCTTCATCTTTATACTATCATCTCACTTTGAATCTATGCCTATATTCTAGTATAATGACATCGTTTGTGGATCACACAGGGCTAGGTTAGTCTGTTGGATTTTTACCAATCTGTGGTTGATAGCAACAGCAAAAATGTAGAAGTGGGTATAGCTGCCGATGTTGCAGCAATAGGACTCTGGCAGGTGTTAAATGCCCAACTTTATGTTTCTATGTGAATTATGTTTGGTGAAGGTGTTGATGAGCAAGTAACTAATGAGGTTAAAACCCCACTGGCAATTAGCGCAAGTTACTATGACCAACATCGTCGTCTTGGTTTGTTGATCGCAATATATAGTTTTTTCATCTTTATACTATAATCCTATATTCAAGTATAATAATGTGATTTGAGGATCACTCGTAACTAGGTTGTCTGTTGGAGTTTTAGCGATCTATTGTCGATAACAACAGAAAAAGTTTAGAAGTGGGCATAGCTGCCAGTGTTGCAGCAATATAACTCTGGCAGGAAGTAGTTATGCTGGCATTTTGTAGTTGGTTCCTTCCTAGCATGATGCGTATCTAATTCCATGTGTATGCTGATGGCTGCAGTTCCAGCGGAGGAACCGGATTTACAAAGAGGAGCAGCGAAAAATACGAGCTGCTGCCAGAGAAGCTAAGGAGGGTGGTGGTGGTGAAAAGCATAGCCTCCACGCGTAGTGTTTCTTGATTGTTTTCTGATAACTTTTGGCAAATAAAGAATGTGAAACGAGATGTTGGTGGTATTGTTCTATTGCGGCACACTTGAGCTTGTTCCTGCGAACTGGTTTTTGATTTTATACTGAATGGAGAGCTGCGAGGATGCTTTGCTTTCTTTAAATATCGTGCAATAATGTTGTGGATTATTACTTTGGGAAATTGATGTTGAAGGAACCACAGACGTTGAAGGTAGATGTTGGAATTGGAATTCTTCTTCATTGTCAAATTAATGACCTCTAGTAGCCCTGTTGTTTACATTGTGTGGAGGTGGTTATGATAAAATTTTCAGTTAGTTGCCCAAAGGTTTCAGACAACAACTCGGTAATTGTGAAGGCTGCTGCTAGCAGCAGGATCATCAGGCATGCAGCTGATGAATCATGAGTTAACGTAATCTGATTTGAAGGTTAATTTGAAGCACAGGCGACGCTTACTATATAACAGGGCACAAATAGGCATTCATTCATAGGTGTTAAAGAGAAGCAGTACAACAGCCTTGCTGCAATGGGAGACCGGATGAACATACATTTAGAGACGAGACTGTGAGATAAATAGATAGAGAGAGATCAGATAAACCAACTCTCCTCTCCAATCCTTATTTTTAATACAGAGACACAAATGAGGATATATTATGGCGTATGAGGCAGGCATGGCATGGCATGGCATGGCGTTGTGTGGCGATCGATGATAAAACGCAGCAGCTGGTGGTGGAGTGGATGGGTCAATGCTTGTGCTTAGGCTTCTTGATGATCATCACAGTGCAGTGAGCATGATGAGCACAGTAGTCGCTCACGCTGCCTAAAACCGCCCTGCAATGGCGACAGATAATGAAAGACATGATTAGAAAGTGATCAATCAAAGAGGGTTGGTTCCAAAGGCAGACTGTCCAAGCCAATACCTTTTGATAGCTCCATAACCATGACTGCCCACAACCAGTACTGAAGCGCCATGTTTCTCCACAGCTTCACAAAGAACGTTTCTCGCATCGCCTTCCACTACTTCGAATACTGCTTCTTTCACCTGCAAAGAAGGAACTACGCTTCAATTCAAGGCCAGACGAGAGAGAGAGAGAGAGAGAGAGAGGGTGAAGGTACCGATTTGTGGTCGTTGCAGATTTGCTTGGCCTTGTCCACAACTCGGGCGGCGATCTTCTTCAAATCGGAATCCACGTACGGCAGCACTTCGGCGGCGCCAGGGCCGGCGAGACCCACGACGGAGGTGGGGGTAGGCTTGGCGTGGACGAGGACGAGGTTGAAAAGGGAGGCGTCGGCGGGGAGGGGAGTGAAGAAATGATCCAGAGTCCACTGCAGAGCGTAGACGCTGTGCTCGCTGTCGTCGATCCCAACCACCATCACTTGCTTCTCCGCCATCGCCCTTCAACTAGCTGTCTTCTGTTGCGGTTGCCTGCGCTGCTCCTATTCGTTTAGTGTTGAAATTTTCTTCTTTATATATATAGCAAAGGAGAGGAAGCCAATAGATAAGAAGACTCTGATCAATTTTGGACTTTTTATTGCGTACGCTACACGTACCAAAGGAGAGAGAGGCGAGAAGACGGTAGTTGCAGGCAGAACCAGATCCTTCGATTCGTAAACGATCGAGCCGTCACTCTCTCGCCACTTGCCGCCATCAAATAGCTTCTTCTGTGGATTCTGTCTGATATATTCCTTGTTATCATATTCTTCCTCTTCCTGGGGGCGTGTTTGCATCACCGAAGCATAAAATATCTCGGGTACTATTGATGTAAATATTGCATTCACAGCCTGAATTGAGCTCTTGCTCATGCCAATAACTTATTATGGTCCACCCTGCAAATTGCAAGTTCAGTCACAATACTGGAATTTTCCAAGCTGCTGTGCACTTGGAAGAGCTTAGAATCGTGCTAAACCAAAGGTATACTACTTTTCTTTGGCGTGAAAGTTGATCACTTGTTGGTGAATATAAGGAGATTCCAACATTGTGTTTTGCATTAATCAAAACTCAACAAACAAAACAAAAGGAGATACATGTGGATTTAATAACAGAGTATACTAAATCAACCAGTTTCATACATATATCGCTAATCAATTTTCCTGACACCTAAGATACGATCAAGGGATTTCTGTCCTTGTACATGTGATATCTCTTGCACAGTTTCTCAAGAGTTGCAACCGAATGCTGCATCGCGTTCAGTTTCGAGTCCATAAACATCTTCTGGAAAAGCAAAACAAAGGAGTGAGTTCTAGAGTGTTGGGGGCAAACACAGAAAGTAACGCATTAACAGGAGAGGTTATTAACCGACCTGGTAATCGTCTCCATATTTCTCAACTAGCCGACCAATATGATATCTTTGCATGCTGGTCAAAGGCTGCAAAGGGGCGCCTTTCCCATCTCTCCTTTGCTTCCCAAGAGCCGATTTCAGATCTGCATGACCAAGCAAACCATGGATTTACATCTCATAGAAGAGGCCAGAACGCACTGTGCAATTTTACCTAGCAGAGAATGAATGTAAAGAAATACAACAAAAAAGCATCATGCAGACAAGAATCTACAAATGCCCCCAAAGAGCTGACTGCCATGATGTCTTCTTGCAAATCTAACCACAAACAGCAGACCGTTTCTTATTGTGATGGTTTCTTACTCTCACAGCCATAAGCTAGAATGCAGAGGACCAATTGAAGATTGCCCATGAACACAGAGCACTCTCATTGGCAGTATTTCGAATGATCAAGATCTCTGAATCCAAATGGTTCCTGGATCAAGTACTTGCTAAAACATGAGCATATAGAAGTTGTGACTTTTGGAGCAAAGATGCATACCGGAGAAACTGCAACTGTTCATTTCAAGGTAAATGGACAAGGGAATGAACTTGTATTATGAAAGAAAAACAAAGGTAGCATATTCAGTAACCTTGGGCAGTGCTCTCTTCCATGGACCAAAATGGCAGTGTTTGTAAAACCATACCGGCTACCTGATAGGGAAAACCTACTACTGGAGCATAAATCGGTCGGTGGTGTTTAGCTAGCGGTATGAAAAGATTGAGTTCAGGTAGAACTTCCGGCAAAGGTTTCACAATCCTTGCAAAATGCAAGCCCATTCTAGATGACGATTACCGAATCCAAACATGGTAAAACAGCAGTGCAGCGTATGGGAACAAAACGAAGCCCTAGTTAGCCCCAATCTAAGCTTGAATTTAGCTGAGCTAACAATGGAGCCAACAGAGGAACAAACAACAAATATGGATTCGACCAAGCGAAATAACGAAAGGTATACTTACCATCTTCTTCAAGGTCGCTGCCAGAGTCCAAGGGCTCGAACTCGCCAAGAGGAGCGTCGCGTTGAGCGGGAGGTGCTTGGAGCGATTGCGCCTCGAGGATATGAGCAGTGCGGGACCGGACGCTAAGCAGGTTAGGGTTGGAAACAACGCCGAAGGACTTGTAGTTCTTGATGACGCTGGCCTTGTCGTCCCACTTGAAGTCGTAGTCGTCGCCGGCGGCGGCGGCAAGAGAGCGGAGCTTTGGAGGGAGGCTGAAAGCGGGCTTGAACAAGTTGGGATTCTTCTTCGGAAGTCCGACGCGCACCTTCTGCCGAGACCTCTTCAGTTTTCTCCTCGATCCTCCCATCTTCGACTGCTCTTCGGTTCAGTGGCACAGCGGAGATGGTACGCTAGGCAGGGAGATGGCGGGGATGCGAATAGTGAGATGCGACAGAGGATGGCCGCAGCCAAAGGGTTTTAGCAGGCCGCGTCGTGAGTCGTGACTCAGAGTAGGCAGCAGGGCAGAGAAGAACACAATAAGCGAGTATGTATCGGAGTAAGCCTGGTCAAAAAGCCCACACTAAATCTATATAAAGCCCAATAAATGTGAAACATGGTTATCGACAAAAACAACACATAATGGGCCTTTGATGACTATAGCTGAATAGCAAGTTGTCAAGCTACGGGTTGACGTCCCCGACGGCCGAAGAATAAAACAGCGGGTTAACCTGTCACAAGTTCTCCGACTGAAGTTCATATGGCGGCGTCTTTTTTTTTTTTTGGTTTGTGAGTTGTGAATTTTTTTCATTTTTTCCGTCTTAGGATGACAATAGGTAGAGTCGGGTGCATGTTCACCCTATATAAACTTCTAACCAGTCGGGTGGAGCCTTTTAAAATACCCAACCAAATAACTACCTGGTATTAGTGGCGTATTCAGGGCTGGGCCAACCCAGGCCCTGGCCCAGCCCTCCTCCGGATCCAGAGTTAGTTTAGTGCTTATAAAATTTTTCGATTTAGGTATTTGGCCCAGTGCTATTTAAAATCCTGTTTAGTTTTATTTAATAATAGGATTCTGTGTAATTAGGAAAATGATTCTGATGAACATATTCAAACCATTACTCTAAATTTATACTAAATTTTCTATAGCCCCAATGATTTGAAAAAAGACATGAAAACCTAAAAGTGTAAAGTTTCATTAAAATATAAAAAAACTCTAAACTAAAGCACACCCTTCCTTGCAAAATTCAAAAAAATTCCCAATCCCCCCAAAACAAAACAAGAACGAGGAGACGAGCAGACCCAAAACGGATTTCTCCGCCAGCCCGTCGAGCTGGTTTTCTTTCCATTCTTTTGATTAAGAAAATATTTACAAACTTGTTGAGTTATCATTTAGATTGCCTCAATTGAGTGGGGCACTAGATTCTAACCGTTCTTTCTGGTTTTTTTATGAAGAAAATATTTACAAACTTGCTCAAGAGTTTAGCCTCGAGACTTTGAAGGCTATGAGATGCATTTTTTGGAGAATGCACTACTCATGTGAGGAAGATGAAGTTTCTTCTCTTGCAAAATTATTAGAGAAGCTGGAGGAAACAGGGATGGACACACAATACAAATTGATTTGTCGGTTGATTTGTCTAGTGTTGACCTATCCATTTCAACAACTACCATGGAGAGAATATTTTCAGCAATGGAACATGAACATTGATTTGTGCAACAAAATGAGCGATGAATTTATCGTTGATTACTTAGCTATTTTCTTTGAAAAAGGGTATATTATCAGTATGGACGGAGATTATATTATTGATGAATTTGCTAAATTAAAAGACTTTCTTACACAATTGACATTGTAATGAAAGCTATATTATTATATATTTTTGTTTATGATATTTAATATTCTATTCAAATGCGGCCCAGTGCTCTCTTATGTCCTGGATTCGCCGATGCCTGGTATAGAAATGCTATAACCATACCCTACATACCGGGTAACAAGGGTATTCGAGTAATCAAGGGTAGAAGCTGGCGAGTTGCGCGCGAACGAGAGGGAAGGAGGGGAGAGCAGGTATGCGTCGTTGTAACTGGCGGAGCTCCTTGCTAACGGCGCGCGAACGAGAGCGAAGTAGGGGAGAGGCGGTCGGAGTGTGAAGTTTGGGGAACTTTGATGTCGATTGTTGAGAGCTGGTGGAGTGTGGGGCTATGGGCGGCGCGGTGGTCTGATCGTTGGATGGCTGGCGGGCAGCAGCTATATGAGAGAGAAGACTATTTTCTGATGGGTGCTGGCCTGCTAGCTGCTACCTGCTAGGGTTAGAGCCTTGGGAAAATCAACCATTTAGTTAGCGGGCGGGTATAACGGGCGGTTATTATCAATTGTCATATTCGTACCCTACTCGTATTTTTACAATCGGGTATTACCCGTACCCGACCCTTAACCCATCAAATCGAGTAATTACCCACGTTGACCGGTTACGATCGGTAGGATACCCATGGTTTCGGGTTGGATTGCCATCTCTACGTCTAACTCTATATTTGAAATTCTAACTTGAATATTTGAATATTGATATTATATATGTGTGTTTGAATTTTCACTATATATTAGATCCAATTATGAACTGTTATTTTGGTGCAATGTCAAATGTAATTACACATATGCTAAATGATATGTAATATAATTTACAAATGTATAAACACTATAATAAATTTTTGCATATATCTAGATTAAACAAGGCTAAAATTACCCTAAACCCACTTGTTTGACAAGACTAACGAGATAAAACCGAGTTGACAACTTTGGACCAAAGACTACCAAAGTACCAATTAATTGTACTGGTTGGTATTTGGGTCGAAGGGGCAGATGCCATAAGATATTTTTCATTACCATCGTCCACGGTGTTCGCCTCGTTTGTTTCCAGAAGTAATGAGAGGGAGAGGGGTAAATCAAATAGAAGAAGAAGGTGAAGCCCTTGTTTGGTCCAGTGTGAATTTGGGGCTAACCTTGAAGCCCATCATCGTTGGTTGCTCTTTCGGTGGAGGTCGAGATGATAAAGCTGCAACCTGCAGGTACCTATGCGAAAATCAACAAATCAAAGGACAGGAAAAGAAAGAAGGAGAAGAGGGCGGGAGAGGGCAGGAGATGGGAGATTTGGAGAAGCGGTTGCGGTGGGTCTCTTCGTCACTACCCATCGATCGGCCGACAAAATGAGGGAAAATTTGGATCCAGATCTGCCGCCTCCTCTTGGCGTTGGCGAAGGAAGAGTCATCCCCTCCCCGCTCTTCTCCATCACCGCCTTTAGCGCCTGATGGAGCTGTCTTCGTCGATGTTGTCGCTGGACGAGGAGTGATGATGGTGGTAGAGCTGCTGGAAGAGTAGCGGCGGGGAAGGGAAGAAGGGAAGGCTGTAGTCGCTTTCTTGTTTTGTTTTTTTTTTTATTATTATATTTTTTCCTTATAATCCACGTAGGTTGATGGGGTAAATCCATCGCCAACTCATCTTCTTCCGTTAGTATAGTCATACCGTCAACTGACGCCGTTAACAAAATGGACGGAATTGGTTATTTTGTGTTTTCGGATAATTATGGCTATATCTGTCAAAAGTGTGAAAGTTATGGCTATACAAGTGTATTTTGCCTTTTTTTTTTTACAAAAGAATTATAGGTATGTCTATAGTGACATGCATGTCACTGTAACTTCCACTTTTAAGTCGATCTCATATAGGATTAGGTCGACCTAATATGTACTTTTAGATCGGCCTCATATAGGATTAGGTCGACCTAATATGTCGTTTCAGTTTTGTGAGGTTCCCGAATACACTAATGTGAGCACCCTGATGACTTATCACGATCGACCTTTAAAATGTAGTGGTCGACAGTTTATAGTTTAAGTTGTCATTGTTGGTCGACCACAATAAAACATCGGTCGCCCTTTTCATTGGCGTCAGAAGCAAAATGGTCGACCGTAAAGGTATATAGGTCGACCACTTGATGGCGGTCATTAACAAAATGGTCGACCATTTACAGAAAGAGGTCAACCATATAGAAGAGAAGTGTTGTATACATTTATCCATCATCATTTGACGTAAAATGATGATCAAGTGTTGGTTTCGCGGTTGACATAATCCGATACGAGGTCGACTGAATACAAGAAAATCAACATATGCCCTGCATCCTTTTTGCTTATGTATGTCGATGTGGGTGGTTCTTTTGCTCGTACAAATTACTTTTCAAACCAACATAATTAGTTATAAATAATGATAACAATGACTCATAACTTCCACGTGGTCGACCTCTTGAATCACGTACAGTAGGAACCGCAAAGGATCTTCTTCATAAAAGCTCTAACCGTAATAAAAACCTAATTCAGAATTTCGGTGGCGGTAAAGGTGACATATATTCGTATTTATAGATATTTAGGACGAGAATTGGTCGAATTAAGTGATAGATAATTTAGGGCAATTTTCCCCATAAATGTATACACATCACAAAAAAACTCTTTTCGTCTATGTAAAATTTGTGGTTAAAATAAAAAAAAAGTACAAATCGGTTTAAAAAATAGAGAAAAGGAAAAGCGTTTCACTCCCACCTTTTAAATGTAATCTCACTTAAATTTAATATACCATATCTAATGGGTAAATGTCACATTTGGTCATTGAGATTATTAAATCATGTCATGTTTAGTCACTAAAAAAATTAATATAAATTTTAGTCACTCAAATTACCAAAACATGTGAATTTAATTTCGAATTATTGTCAAATACTTAAGTGACCATGACAGCTAATTATGCAAATAACTCAATTGGGTTTGCTTGTGTGGGGCAAATAGTTGATTTGTTTCTCCTGCTAAAAACCCTAAAGCGAACCCTAGTCTTGTCATCCTTCGCATCTCTGCCCTTCTGATAGCCAACTTCACCGCGGAAATGGAAGAGGTGGCTGAGATGGAAGTTGAAGAAGAACGTCTGAGGTCCGCTCCAGCGGATTCCGCCAAGAGATTTGGACTCAGGAACTCCATCCAGACCAATTTCGGCGACGATTACGTCTTCCAAATTGTCCCAAAGTAACCTTACTTATTCCCTACCATACCAAGTTCTCCAACCTTTTCTGCTCGCGCTTCAGTCTTCTGCTACTTGATGCTGCTACTCGATGTAAAAAATTTGACTTTTTGTTGGTTTGAAGGGAGGATTGGACTTCAATGGCGGTTTCGCTGTCCACAAATGCGATTAAGCTTTACTCTCCCGTTACGGCTCAGTACCAGGGTGAATGCAGGGGACATTCGGGCTCCATCAACGATATTTCTTTCTCTGTTTCTTCGACCCCGCACGTCTTGCACTCGTGCTCTTCTGATGGCACTATAAGAGCTTGGGATACTAGAACTTTCCAGCAGGTCAGTTTCATCTGTTTACCTTCCTTTCCCGCCCCTAATTTATCCTGTTACTGAACTTTTGCTTGATTGGATTTCTTTGCACCGAAGGTTTCATGCATAACTGCCGGCCCCTCTCAGGAGGTCTTCAGCTTTTCATTCGGAGGATCCAATGATAATCTTCTCGCTGCCGGTTGTAAATCACAGGTTTGGAGACAGTTTACGTGTTCCCATTTGATTTCTCTTTATGCTTCTTACTTCCAGCCCCCTTAGCCTTATGGTGGAGGAGGTGCATTTTGGAAGAATGAATGGTCTGAAGTCCTGGGATATGATTGGTTTAACTGCAAATATGCCTGTTGTTGATCGGTCGTTGTGAATTTGCATTCTGGGTTCAGATACTCTTCTGGGATTGGAGGAATAAGCGGCAAGTTGCATGCTTGGAGGATTCTCATGTGGACGATGTTACTCAGGTTTTCCAATCTAATAGAATTTATTTTTGGATTGATTATTCCATCAGTTTGTGCGAGTTAATATGTTTATTCAATATTGTTGTAATGTGACCGTATCATGTGTTGTGCCATCTGCTGCCAGAGGTTCTGTTCATTACTTGTGTAGCAACGTTGAATTCTAGATTGTTTCTGAGCTTTTCCAACTCTGGCTATCGTATTGTGGGAACTTCAGGTGCTAATCTAAATAGTCATATTGGCCTCAACTTTATTGACAATTTGTTCTAGTTACTGCAATGAAATAGTAGCAGTTATAGTACGACTGCCTATAAGTAACTTGCCTTGCAAATTATGGTGGGGTTTTTCCTTTTCCCTTATGGTTACACTTATACTATTAAGTACATCATGCTGCCTCTAATGGCACTTCACCATCTGTTGCCTCACAAGCTAACTTCTCTGCAGATCCACGCTTGAGTAGAGAAATTCAGTTGTGTTTGGGAATAGGCACATTGGTTTATTACCATCTTTGGCTGATAGCTTTGCAATTTTCTGAAATTTGTTTCTGGCTTCCTAGTGAAGAAGTTAAATTCTATGGGTCGTTAATATTCTTTGATTCATATGACCTGATGGGTGTAAATCTTACTTAACTTTTGATAGGTCCATTTTATCCCTGGCCGCCAAGACAAGCTTGTTTCTGCATCTGTCGATGGGTTGATGTGTATTTTTAATACTGGTGGGAGTATCAATGATGAAGATGAACTTGATTCAGTAAGGACCTGGAGTTGGCATGCCTGTCATAGCTTTCCACCTATTATTTGTTGTGATTTTGCTTGTTTTGGTGTATCAATCGATGTCTCAGTTGTTAAAACATTCTAGGTGCTTAATGTGGAAACGTCGATTGGGAAAGTGGGTTTCTTTGGAGACAAGTTTCAGAAAATTTGGTGTTTGACGCATATTGAAAGCCTGAGGTACTGTATCCGTACTCTTGAAACAAAGGCGGTGTTTTGGTTGATCGTCATATCTTCACTACAGTCATTTAACCTTGTACTTGGCCCAGATAGAACTTGCTATTCATCTCTCCTATTGCTAATTAGTTGTTAATTTTTTTATCTTTTCCTTGCCTTTGATAATTTGGGCAATATTTTCCTCATTACTCTGCATTTCAGTGTATGGGACTGGGAGGAAGGGAGATGTGAAACAAACTTGCTTGAAGCCCGGGGGTTGGCTTCTGATAGTTGGTCGTTGGATAATGTGAGCTTTCCTTGTCATTGCGTATTAGGGTTTGCAAGCATTTGCAGATGTCTAACTTAATCTCTTATGCGAGGAGATGAGGGAGAGCAGTTTCTTTTACTATTAAGCATTAAATGTCTGGTGGCATGAATTCATGATCCCACTGCAACCTGGTTCTCCATTTGTGTTGGTGTTGACAGGTTGATTACTTGGTGGACTGCCATTACCCCGGAGAAGGTGAAAAGCTGTGGGTCATCGGTGGCACCAAGGCCGGTACTTTAGGGTATTTCGGCGTAGATTACAGAGGAGGATCAATCAGTAGCCCCGAAGCAATCCTCGGTGGCGGGCATACAGACGTTGTGAGATGTGTGTTGCCGATGTCGGGCAGTCGTAGGGATGGTGGTCCTCTCCCCAGCAGCACAACAAGTGTTTTTGGATGGACTGGAGGTGAGGATGGCCGCTTGTGCTGCTGGCTGTCTGATGAGGCCACTGAGATTGATCGCTCCTGGACATCATCTGCATTGGCTATCAAGCAACCCAACACCCGCAAGAAGAACAGGCATCATCCGTACTAGCAACATGCGCCTCTCCAGTCCTTGTATCTTCTCTCTTGTTGTAACGTTTTGTTCATTGAAATTTCAATGTTGTAATCAGAAGAAAGGCGTGGTTTTTGGTACACTTTTTGTTTACCATCTCCAACCATTCTCTCACTATGTTATTTATTTACAAGTTTAAAAGCCTTTTCAAAGTTGAAAGATGGGAAAATCAAACGATCTTGCATTTTACTATGCCCATTAACTGCCCCTGAATTTAATATATAAGTCAACACAATGCTGTATAATTTGATATATAAGTTGTTCTACCAACAACTTTCTCATTCATTTCATTTCAATTGGTGCACTCATCATTTGTTTGGCAGGTGCTATATTTAACACGCTTTCCGAACTCAGACTCAGGGAGGACGACAATACCATTTAACAAACCGAGTTTTTGTTCTTTATGATACCACAAGCAAATTTTCCATACTTACCTCCTCTACAACGTCAAATATTGTTTAGTGGAGCACAAAGTTAATGCCCCACAAAGATCACAGCTAACTCAAAAAAGAGCTGTAACCTCAACAAACAGGACGTCATTTCAATTGGGAAGTTCGGGAAAATAAAATTTGCTATGTGAAAAAACAATCTGTTGCGTGCTTAGAAATATAATAATCAGTAAACAGAGAGCTTCTTCTTTGCCATGCATCTCTCCCTGCTCACCTGCACTGCTTTCTCCTTCATCCGAGCAAGCTCCTGAAACCAACACCGATACTGTGCCTCAATAGCTTCAATTTCCTCCTTCATCTCTTCCTCAGGATCTGTATCAAGCAAGGCCGCAGAGGAATGATTGCTAGCCAAGATCACCATGTCGTCGGACAAGGGTGTACTCAACTGGGGAAATGACAAATCCGCATTCACCACGGATTGATCAATAATAGTGGTGGATTCAATACTGTTGCCTGTTATTTTTCTAGATTGAGAGGCAAAATATGGATCCATGAGCTCCAACTGGGAACCACGCCCAGCTAAGCCTTGGGAACATCCTCCGTCACTCTCGTAGCCACGGTGTCCAAATGTTTCCTTGTCATTCAAGTAAGCATCTTCAATAATTGATTCTGAGACAACTGATCCGTGTGATGAAGAGCCTTGATCGTCCATGTGAGCCAAACTTGGAGAAGAGTTGTAGTCGAATTGTAGTTGTGAGAACCCATCTTCAAGGTGAGAATATTGATTTCCCACACTTAACCTGGAGACCAAATCTTGCTCCATATTGGCCGATTCTTCGGGGGGAGGACTCTTAGTAACCATAGAATCATTCCAAGAAGACGAGTTTCTACTATTTAGTTGAACTGGGGACTCGACCAAACAGCTAAACGCACCACTTGAGGAACAAGCGGACGAGGGCTTCCAGCCGGGATGAAGCGTCATCATCAAGTAATCAATAAACTCAGCTATGAAGGCCACATCATGTTCTGCCAGCTCCAGTTGTTCAACCATCTCAGCTGCTACAGCTACTGCAGTATCACTATCGAGATAGAACAGAAAATGAATATTCTTCACTTGGCCTGCGGAGAAAAGGAAAAGCGAGTTTGAATTATATGTGTTGAAGAAAAAAGAAATTAGGAACGATCAAAGAGACCAACTCTTTTGACACAAACATTTACAACACATACCAGAAGAGTCAGCAATACGCAAGCTCAATGAAACCGAGTTGTCTTCATTTTTCATCCCTTTCAATCTAAACTCATTGTTCCTATGCACCCTTATAAGCTCAATAGTTGGCAACCTAGGACTTCCAAGGTTGCTCTCTGTACACGAACTGAAAGAAAGCTTGCTGGAATTACTAACCAATTCCATGGAGAATGTACCAGATTTAGGAGGTACAGTGATGGGGTTTACAACACAATGTTTAGGCAAGGGCAAGGGGTCACGAGCTGCTGACAGTGAATTCTCAGGGTGAAGGAATGGATCTCTTAGAAGTTCTATTGCTGACAAACGGACAGATGCAGGAAGCAGACATTTCTCAATAAACTTCTTCATTTGTGGATCGCTAACCTTACTAAGTGAAGCAGGTTTGATTCCCTGTTCAGGAAAGAACAAGAATAACACTTTCAGTCTTAATTAAGATTAAGTTATAAGAAAAGAATCCACAAAATGCTGTAGGGTCAATCGTGAAACTTACGGAAGTAACCTTCTTATAGATTTGAGCTGGATTTTTGCATTCACTATAAGGGTATTCGAAAGTAACCATCTCTAACATGCACATCCCAAAGGAATACACATCTACTAGCTCATTGTATTGCTCCTCGTAAAGTTCTGGAGCCATAAATTCTGGAGTTCCTGTATCAACAACAAAAATATCAAATACTATTATTAAGTTCCTTCCTCCAATGAAGTTCTGTTTCAAACCACAGAAAAATGAAGGATGGAAGTAGCCCATCACCAATGACACTTTTAGCAGTAGGCTGCTGCATGACAATGGCCAATCCTAGGTCTCCTATCTTGACTTCTCCATGATTGCCATTAACAAAAATGTTGTCACACTTTAAATCCCTATGAATTACAGGAGGGTTATGACTGTGGAGGTAGACTAGGCCACTGAGAATTTGCCGCGCCCAGCACTTGACTGCCTTCATATCAACATTTTTATGCTTTGTTCGGTACCTGGCAAAACCAAAGAGGAAAATATATATAAATGTTCCTCAAGGTTCACTAGCAAAACCACTAGGAAAAGGTAATAGGTGGACCAACCAAAAAATTCACCCAAATCCACTTGGTTAGAACCATCTAATTTGAGTTTGGGAGGATACGGATAGGCAACCCGTCATACTCAGGCGGGTTCTTGATATAATGTATACCTAACCGCTATATAATCAATTTTATCCCAAGCTGTGAAACGTGATTGATTCAATCAATTAGAATTAGGCTTTACAACATTATTTGACATACATCATAAGTCATACATTTCATGATTCTTAATTATTTCATTGTTTGAAGGTTTTTCAATTCTATGTTAATATACATTATACACCCAACCCACATATTAGTATACACTTGGGTGAGTGTGTGTCATCTACTCCAGGGAGGGTGAATTTCAGGGTAACGACTATTCAATCCATCCATTGCCAATTTCTAAACAAGAAAAATGGGACAAGAAAGCTAGAACAAGTAAAGCGTGAGGGAGTTCTTATCTTACTGTCTCAAATTCCCAGATGTAAAGAGCTCGGTAATCATGTTGATAGTTTTCTTCTTCTCGTCCACCCAAGAATCGTACAATGAAATGATGCTTTCGTGCTTCAGTGATCTCAATAAATGTACCTCTGAGTACAGTTTCTGCAGATCCTCTTCTGACCGCATAACATCATCAATCTTTACCCGGTTCCATGCCACTTCTATACCATCTACTTCATCGAAAGCCTTGTACCTGTAGACCAAACATAAACACAAAAAAAACAAATCAAAATTACATTCTTGCATACAAATCTACATTTGACTGGATTATCCACATGATTTCTTTTCCAGAAATGAAATATAAAACAAAGCTAAAGTATGAGGACAGTACACTGTTTTAAAAGCACCCTTGCCCAAAACCTCGTCATACTGCGACCAATCAAAAGAATCATAGTTCACCATTAGACATCGCCGAATTCGCAAATTGAAAGAAGTGAGTGCCAAAAAAGCAACATGAAGAGTGAAAGTTGGGACTTACACGAACATATCTACCAGAAGGATCCTTCTCTACAAAATCAGCCTCTCGGGGCCGGTCTATTGCGGGATAATAAGTAGCATCATTATGACTAGAAGAAGAAGAGGAAGAAGGAGAAGCCAATACCAATCCATAGCCACCAACGCCGCCACCGATGCAGCCGCCTCGGCCAGCAACCATATCCGCTCTCATTCTTGCTGCCGTAGAAACCACCCCAAAACAAGAAAATAACACCACGGAAATGAATACGCACCACTTATAACAGTGAACAGAGGACTCTAATGGGGACAATAATCTCACGAATCTCCTGCTTGCGCGCATCTAAAACTTGGGAGTTCTTTTATTATTATTTTTTCCAACGAAAAATGAATATGAAATCAATCGACGGCGGCAGGAGTATCGAGGCGATGAATAGCTCGACGGGGGAAGAGCAATTCACGAGCCTCGACGACGGCGGTCTCCTCCAACATTCCACGCCGGGTGCATTAGAGGAGCCCCTTCCCCATTGCCGCCGCCGTCGCCGAACCCTACTTCTAATTCACGGAACAGGAAAATCTGAAGAAACAAGGGGACAACACTATTGGAAATTCAGACGAGGATTGGGCATCGGAGGAAGCGAAGAGGCGGTGGATGTTGGCCGGGGCGGTGGGTTTTGGCCGGCGGGAGGGTAGCTATGGAGGGTACGGGAAGGAGAAACTTTAGGGATTGGGATTGGAATAAAAAGGAATTGGGCTTTCAATTGAGTTCTGTTTCTGGTTTGACTTGAAATGGGAGGTCGGCCGAAGAGGTGGTGGCAACGAACAACTGTGTGGCCAGATTTTTGTGGAACATGACAAACTAGGAAAAGATTCTACCAACAATAGGAAAATTCTGGTATACAACACTAAAAATACTAATTGTAACAAAATTGTTATTTACAGATTATATTTTTAAGAAAGACAAAATATTTTAATCTGTTGAAACCAATATTATTTTTGTTTCAAGGGTTTTTGTTAATGTTATAGTTAACCCTAAATTTACAAGTGGTTAATCTATACTTGACCATTAAGTATGTGACGCTTATTTGTTGCTCATGTATGTAACATATGTGAAGTTATTGTTAAAAAATGTAATAGAATTTTATAATTAAACAAAAACAAATTTTGAAAAAAATGGGGGAAGAAAGATAAAAGAATATGAATCCACCCACTTCTTCCCTCATTCATCTTTTCGTCTTGCCCAACGCTCTCCTCAATAAACAACTTCTTTACGAACAACTGTTGGATCCAAACAAAGCAAAGGAGGAGTTTCTAGATATATCCAGAGCTCGCCGGATTTAAAGACGGTTACAGTTACGTACACCAATATCTCCGCCAAGGATTGTGTGATATAGTCTGGGACGTGGCATAATAGGGAATTGCTTCCAGCTGCATCGGAGTGAGCCTTTGATGATTGTATCACCTGCTCCTCTGGCGCCATGTCTTCAAATGTGTGGTTTATTGAAAGTTTGATGAGAGGCAGATGAAGCTTAAATCATGGTTATATGTGCAAATGATTGATAAAAAATTCAATGACGACCTTAGACTCTAATGAACGATGATGACAGACTTGCCATCACAATAACTCTGTCAGAGTAGATATGGAAGGAAAAATCTACATTGCATCCCGGTTTGACTTAAGTGAAAATAGATCCCTCCAATTTTCTCTTAAGTCAAACCTTGATTGTTATCCTTTACATTGACGCGTCAACGTATTAATGATTCTAGGGCTAGAGATACGGAGGAGATATCTAAAGCACAGTCGACGGTTATGCCATATTCGTTAAAGATTCCAGAAACACATCTTGCCACTAATTCCAAAGGTTGCAGGTTCTGTTCAAGAGCTTGGAATTCTGAAGGGATACGACAAGAGTAAAATATTTCGACTAAAGATGGAACATGAGCAAGCAAAGCAACTAGATCAGTCATTGTTTGAGTGATCGACATCATAGTAAATGCAAGAAGAGAGTGATGGGTCGTCGTCGAACTACTTGATAGTAAAAATGTTATTTTTAGTGTAAATAATATAGCTAGGCTAGATAGGAAGAGGGAAGTATTGTTGCGACTGAAGTACGGATTGATATGATGATCATAGTGGTTGGTTAGGATTTGTTTTTATTTTTTTTAATGGATATTTTGGTTTTTTTATATGTTTTTTTAATTTTATTTCAAAATAACTTGGCAATCATTAAGTTGATTTTAACTGTCATATTAATGCTTACTATAATTTATGTTAAATATTCAAAACCACTTAACCAAAAGGAAAGTTCAGTACACATTTGTCATATAAAAAACATGTTATAAATCTAATTGTTGTTTTTAGTGGTATTATCTCGTTTAATCATTATGTTATGATTTTTTTTTTCTCAAAATGCAAGGGTTGAAAAAAAAATATTATCACTATACATAACTTGTACAAAAAGATTCCAAAACATAGCTTTCTATTAAAGCCCGTGCTTCGATCCGAAAATGTATTGGCGAATGAACCGGTAAGCACTAGATCGCTATAGTTATAAGATTCAAATCTAACTTGGTAGGTACGAAGACTACTAAGGTCATATTCCCATATGACTATTCATCTCCCACTACTTTGAAGTGAGAGCTAGGTTCTTCCAGAAAATCCTTTTGAGGTTGAGGTTACTCGGTTTTGCAAATCAATTGAAAACAAAGTAAAACACTGGAATTTGAAAAGCAATAAAGTAAAATGCAATATGAAAACACTTTGAGCATACAGAGTGTTGTTTCCCCTAGAGTTTCCATATTGTTATGCAACTTCAATCAAACACGTTCATTGAGTTTTAACTTTCTATCTCGCCCAATTAATTTATATTCATATCTTATAAAATTTTCCTACAAGAGAAGGGTTATGTGGTCTTGGAACAACATGCAAGTTATATTATAGATTGTTGTCATGGACTCACAGTTATCCTTTACAATCGACATATTAGGCATGTATTGGCATTGGTGATCTCACATCATATGAAAAGTTGTTTCCAATCAATCTCATATGAACCACAAATAAGTAATATATTTAATACCAATAGACGATAAGGATATTGAACAACTCAATCACACTGGTACATCATTAAACCATCATAAAAAAACAACCTTTGGGACCTTTAGTGTTCACAAACCTAAAAAATAGAAGATTCTAGCCACACATATTTGAAGGAATAAATATTAAATAGAGACATTATATTGAAGATTTGACTTAGATTCAATAACAATGGAGGCGTGCATTCTCCATCAAGGATGGAGAAAGTCTTCTTATTGGAACTCCTGGAGCTAAACCTTCTACTTCTCCACAACAACCTGGCCCCACTTACAATCATCACATGAAGATCCCTACTATACAATGTATATATTGATTAATAGGATCAAAATGTTGGAGGATAGGTTAGGACAATGTGTGGTTATAAGTAGGGCTGGCCAATAAGTTGTCGGTTAGCGGGTGACCGATCGTTATAACTGAAAATCGTCGGTTACTGCTAACTGAAAATCGAAGGAATTATCACCTCGGTCAGTCTTCGGAAGGGGATCCAGAGGCTTTGGTTAGCCGAGTAACTGGAGGTGATTAATCGCGGTTACCCAGCTAACCGACGCTCACCGAAAATCGCCCTCCCCCTCCCCAAAACATTAGAAAACTCTTCACCTCCAAAATTACCAAACCCTAATTTGACTTTGACCCTTCCCTCCCCGATTCCGTGCCGCGCCTCGCCTCCGTCTCCTCGTAGTTTGCCTGCGCACCTCCTCCGCCTCTTCCTCCGTTGTCCTCATCATCATCGAGCAGCAGAGCAGGGTGCCTTCGTCCTTCCTCTTCCCAATGCCTTTGCCTCCGTCCAATTCCCGTACACATTTTCCCTTCGCTCTTCGGTCGCCATCATTGTCGTCGGCAGCAGAGAACGTCTCAGTCCTTCCTCTTCCTCCTCCGACCTCCGCCTCCCTCTCCCCCCCCCCCCAAGAACAGAGCAGGCGACAAACAGAAGTGTAATAGTGCCGGCTCCGCCTCCTTCCCATCTTTCCTCTTTCCCGCTCGCCGCCACTTCGTCCGGTCGTCCATTGCTGGTCGTCCTTCCTCTTTGCACCGACTCCACCAATCACCATCATTTTCTCGGTTACACGGCTAACCGTGACTAAAACCAAAAATCGGCCGATCGGTTATGCTGTTAATCGAAGGTCATGGTCGGTCAGTGCTCGGATGTCAATTCCTTGTCATTTGGCTAACCAAAAACTGACACTTCTATTATCGGTTAGAGTGAAACCGAATGAAATCCATCCCTAGTTACAAACCATTAGAGATTTGACTACTTGGATGAAATTGTTTAGTGTACCATTCAACGTTTTGAGATTCTTGAGGCCGGTCAATTGAACTCATTAGCAATGGTGAAAAATATATCATCATACATGCAGGTGGTAACACAAATACCAAATTAAAAGGAGGGGTACATCTTCAAGCGATACTGAGCCTCTTCTAAGGAAATAGTCTCATGTCATAAACCACCGAGGAGGGAAAGAACCTTAAGCAACAAAGAATCTGGTGGAAACTTGAATTCTGCTAACAAGGTGTTGGTGAGCGAATTAAGTCATTAACTATAATATTTGAGAATCTAGGGAAACTCCAACATGACATGTGATTCCTCTATCTAAGGAAAATACCAAGAAATGATGAGGGTAAGCAACAACAACCATAAATTTCATTTAAATTTTCTAAGGTGCCCAAGTATACAAAGTGAACCAAAGAACTCGTGTACAGAAAATGATTGATGGAGCACCTTGATTTGAGCATGACATCTTTGACCCTCATTCATAAACAAATCTCAACAAAATGTATGAATCTTGGTCATTCCTTGCTCAATTATGGGTACAATCATCGAAAGAGCATTAGTCAATTTGGGAGCAAGTATAAATGTGATGTCTTACAAGTTATACAAGGAACTAGCCATAGGAGAACTAAGACCTACTGACATAGCCATACAAATAGCCGATATATAGTTTGATTTATGGACATAGTCGAGGATCTCATAGTGAGAGTGGAAACGTTTGGTTTTTCTAGTTGATTTTGCAGTGTTGGATATTGATGAATAATGTAGCACTCCCTTATCCTAGAAAGGTTGTTCCTTGCCACATCAAGAACAACAACCAATGTATCGGGACAAAGAGTGATACTAGAATTTGGTGTCAAGAAGCTTGTTAGCTACGTGTCTTCCAATGGCGGTGAAAACTCTCCAAGTTCCACCAATGAGAAATTGAGCACAAAATTGATTCATATGGTTACCATAGTGGCAACAACAAACAAAGATACAAATGCACCATCTGTTCATATAAAAGGTCGCTATAAGATTTCGTATGCTAACTTGCATCCTTCCTCCTGAAAGAACATGATAAATAATATGGAGCGACGGAAAGCAAGGTTCCATCCAAGTGAAGAGACTCTGTGTGGCGGACATCATACAAGCAACCATTCATGATTCAGTTTGGATAACTCTTCTTGGGGTTAATAAGGCGATCTATGCAAAACTCACTCTCGAGTTCATCTCATTGCCTGATTTGCCTCAACATGTTGTGCTCACCATCAATTTAGACTTCACCAACATCACCTTCTCACTTGGAGGCTAGATGCAAAAGATGAGTGTCAATGAATTCACCAAGGCCATTGGTATGGTATATACCCTCCAAGATTTCTTCAGTCTCCAAATGAACTAGCTTTACAAGACGAGAATATTGGCCATTCAAACCAGCTTGAGTACTTTGGGGA